TATGCACATGGAAGCAATGCTGCAAGAATTTTGCAGATGTTAAGTCAGATGGAAGTCATGAAAGACTATGTATAAATGTATCATAGCCCGGTCTGCTACAGCTCTCAAAAAATAGGAAACTGCTGAAAAACAGCTATAAAGAATGTTCTCTTTCCACAGAGCTAGTGAATGCTAAAGAAGAGAAGGGACTGTTAAGCCCTTTTCCTACAGAATTCCTCTCCCATCATGAGAAAGAATGGTTCATAATTCAGACTGTGAAATTTAAGACCTCTAGGTGTGTGGGTAAGTCACTTAAGTCTTTCTATTTCTCCATACTTCACTATGGAAACAGGCATACAGAAGTGCCTTACTAGTCCAGGAAATATAATGAACATTTGCATAAGTCTTACCAGACTGAAAAGAACACCAGGAAGGACCAAATATTCCCAAGCCCTACAGCTCCAATGGAGAAGGTGGAGCTGACCATCCACAGTAGTAGTGTTTGGAAGTAACAGAGTACAACAGTTGCCAGAATGTCTTGGTATGGTTTTGACCGCACCACAGATCACAGTGAGAGATGTTTAGGCACCACATAATGGGAAATACGTATTAATAGTAAGAATGTTTTAAAGGAAGGTTTTAATATCAAGCAAGAGATCTCCCTATGAACTGTTTTAAGGTGTAGTTTTAAATCAACAATATATGAAATACTTTTTCCCTAAGAACAGTTTAAAATTTATTCTGAAAAACACCATTGCAAATAAGAGTAGAATTCCGTGAGAGTATAAAAATTAACTTCTCTCAGCCAAATTCAACTAACTATAACAATTTTGATAAGTTTTTTTTATTTATAATTTTTAATCAGTCTTTAAACAAACACTTTTATATGGATATTAGTACCTTACACAAAACTGCTTGAGCATGTCACAGATAGGGAAAAATAGTGTTAAATGCTGAAAAGATTTCTCAGAAATTTCGAGGTGTTCTGTAAGTTGAGCATTACTTAATGCTTATCCATTACACTGCTTTTATACAAAGTCACAAAAGTTGCCTTTAACTCAAGCCATTACACAGCCTTTTCTGTCCAAAACATCTCATTTGTATCAACAATTTTATCCCAAATAATGCCAAATTCATTGACTACAAGTGAAGAAACAACTTCCAGCAGAACTGACTTCAAGATAAACCACTGGCTCAGAAGATCTTAGTCTCATTGAATATTTATTTTTGTTTAACTGAGAACCACTTAACCTTTCTGTAAGTATTACTGTGCTTATTTACAAAAAATAATGCACATTGATATAACGAAGTTTTCCTGAGGCAGAGAAGTGTACATGTTGGATAAGTTCCTACCGTAATTTTTTATTTGAGAAGGTGTATGTTGATTTTGTCAGCTATCAGCCCACTTTCAGTTTTGCACAAAAAAACTTGTATTTTGAAATGTGGACGTGTTTTTAGATTTAGAATTACTTAAGTTTGTATGATGCTGTCCAGTGTAAATCACTTCAAAGTTTATGGAGTTTATATGGAGTTGAGAGCTTTTCTTTATTTTCACATTCATCTTTACACATTTTGGAACGTTTAGCAGGATTTATATCAGTTTACACATAGTATTTCTGTGGCATCTCAGTTACACAAAGCACCAGAACACCAAACTGAGTAACCTGGTCTTCAAAATATTGGCATCTCTGAGGTTACTTCATAACTAGTTATTATACAGGACAGTTATTGATTCTGGCCACACCGCAGTTTTCTGCTCTCTCAGTTACACTAAGGAACAGATATTAATTGCAATATTTAATTAATTCTAATTAATTCTAATCTGGATTCTCCAGTGGCCACAAAAAAAAGCTGTAGCTGCGTAACCAGGTAACAGCAAAAAATACTTATTACAGAACTACACAGTAAAAGGCTGGAAAATGCAGGAACCCTATTGCTCTGACCTGAAAGGCTGTAGCAATGCATTAAAATTTTACTCTTGAAGATATAGCTAGAGAAATAACTGAAAGAAAGTTAGGTTAAAACACCCTTTGGGTGAAAATCACCTTGACAAAATGACAGCTTGAGAGGACATCTGCCTCCTTCCTCTAAGTCTTCTGTGTCACATTCACTTAGACAAATTTACAAACCATTTATATAAGCAGCAATGAGCATAAAGAAGTGGATGCATCAAGAAAAAAATAGTTACTTGGCAAAAACAGTTAATTGAGTATCAATGTCGTGGAATCCAGCAGGGATGGAGCTATCCCCCTTACCTCCTGCCACAGCAATAGATTTGTAATATGTGAAATGCATATTTCAATATATTTAAAAACTGGAAAAACTATTTTAGAAGTGTTAAACTGACTTTGTGTCACTGGTTTAGAAACATTAGTTATTTAAATGGCAGTTTCGGTGCATCTGGCCATGTACAGTTACTCACATATTTGCAGTTTCAGTAAAAAAGAAATAGAATGCAAAATTAAACTTCAGTTGTATCTGTTGATAGGAAAAGTCTTTCATGACGAAAAGCAAAATGCTGTCAGTATACTGATGCATCTCTGTGACTGCTAAGCATGGTCTACCCCTCATCTGCTTAAAAAATTAACAGATGTAGACAGGTATGCTCTCACTGATTGAGCTGAAGCAATTTAAGAAGGTGTAACTTCAAACTGTTAGCCCTTAAACAGAGACTAACTCACTGACAACAGTATCTAAGTGGGCTTCTCATACTTTTCAACAGCTAATAAAACATATTAGCTTACATTGTCTTAAGTGGTAGTTTACATATCCTCTCTCAGTATGTCCTCCAGCACACTGGTAGAGGGGAGGGTGATGATGGGATGTTTAGGTGGTTCTTAACCCACTCACAGAAAAGTGCCTGTCCATATTACAAAGGACTTTCTTTTGTCTTGGGCTTAGAAAAGTCTCATTAGACATATCCATGAGCTTAACTTCACAAGATATAGGAAATGTATTTATGCATCACCTGTATTTGAATCTTATATTTTGTTCATAGTTAATCTGAAATTATTAGAAAAATCTTTACATGGTATGAAATTTAAGTTTGTCATCTATGCAAAGCAACAGAGTTGTTTACTAAAACTTATGCTACAGTATGTTCCATGCAGTTTCACAGCCACTTCAAGCAAGGCAAAGTGATGCACACAAACACACAAGAATTTTTAAGAGATTCTCACATAAATAATTTGTTTTCTATCATGGTATTCAAATTACAGTACATTAAGATAAATTAATTTTTAAAACTATGAATGCAAAGAATGAAGTATTGGGAACACTGATTTATCACAATCAGCAAATACAATAGCAAGTCTAATTTACGAATTCTTAAAATATAATTAATAGTACATATAAAGTGATAACAGAAGAAAGATTTTTCACTTGTAAATAAAACTTGTTCTCACTTTGCCCACTTCTTTGTGCAGATTGATATACGGGTTGCCCATTTTTACCAAATTTAAACTGTGAAATTACTGAGCAGAAAAAAAGCCACAAAGTTGTGCCATTTGCATACACATATCTATAAAGATAAAACACCACTACCTGCTGAAATCATTGTAAACATAATTCAGTCTGACAAAGTAATGCTTAAATAGATGATATATTTCTAAGATACATTGACACAAGTGTAACTGCAGGTTCTAGAGAAAGGTGGTTGCCAAAGGAAGGGGAGGTTGGCTGGCTAACATTCCTTGAGGGCTGGCTGTACACGCACAAGTCACAGATTTTCACTAGTGATGGGAAATTTACTGATATGCCAGAAATACTGGCATTCTAAATATACGTGACACAAAACGGTATCGTGAGTATTACGAGACAGTATTTCTGCACTACTGCATTATCAGTGATGGAAAGTCTGACCAGTACCTTGTCTTTTCATGGTTCTGTGTTCACCTCCACAGTCATCCTCTTACATGTTGGAGTGGGTTTGTTTGCCTGGTCTAGTGTTTTTCCAGTATTTTTCATCCTTGTATAAATTGACTTTACAGATGCTGTATATATGCCCTTGAAAGGCAGTGTTATTTCTAAATTTACCCTCCATTCGATCAATCTCCAGCATAGAACTATGTTAGTTTGTCATAATGATATGGTTTACTGCAACATCATCCTTACACAAAGTTAATACATCATCACATCTTCCATGAAGTTCATCATAACCAAAAAACAAACAGCACTTTTCCATGAGTATGTAGCTGTTAAGACTGTTCAGTGGATCAAAAGGCCAAGTGTCTTACAGCTGGGTCAGATTAGCAGATTAACACAAACTCATAGAAACTGAACAAAAAATTGCAGGCTCAAGTAATCTCTTGCACAATCCAATGTACAATTTTACCACCCTTACGTGCCTTCTGGAGTCAAAGAGGTAAGGAATGAAGCCTGTATTTTACAGCCTTCTGCAAATCTGCACAACATCAATATGAGGACCACCCGATTCCTCCTGCTTTCTTACCTTCCTCTCTCCTAGGGTAGCCTCATGCAAAATACAATATTCTCACAGCTGACAAGCTCAACACATTGCTTTTAATCATGCTGAAATGTCACTCTGTACTTAGGCATCAAGATCAACCAGATTTTCCAGCTCCTAATAGGACTGTTGGGAGAACATCCATTATAACATGGCGCCTCCAAGCCCAAAAAGAAAGACGTTAATTGCCATACTACCTTGATTATAGAGATGTTCACAGAATGAAATTAACAACAAAGCAAGTAAGATACTACTTCTTGGAAGTAAATCCATATGAAAAAGATCAACTGACTGCTACGAATGAAAACAAGCCAATAGTTCATAATAAAGCTCCTGGAAAGGAACATTACACATGTTAGGTGGCAGATACAGAATTACATGTTCCGGTAGGCTAAAACAAAACAGAATTTTCACAGAAAAAGTTAAGCTTTTTTTTTTTTCAGCTTTCAAAACAGACAGCAAGTATTCTTCATATTGATCAGGAATAGCCTTCAGTTTGTTACGCCTTACTTTCTTTTTCTTTTAACAAATCTCTCTACTAAAAATGATGCCTTACCTTTGTTCATATCAATCAACTGCTGCTTCTTCTTCTGTCGCTCCAGTTTCTCTCGTTCAGCCTTCTCTTTTGCCAATTTGGCTCTCTTCGTTTTCTCCTCCATTTCTCTTCTTTTGTTGTTTTCTTTTAACGCCTCCTGCATTAGATAAAATGAACATGGGTGTCCATATACTGAGGAAAACTAGAAAGAATAACAAAAATAACCTTGTTTGCACAGATACTGTATTTACGTCCAATGACAGGGAAAAAAACCAGGGACTGGCACTCAATACTTCAAGCATCTTCAAAAATCTTACGAGGCAACATAGCTTACCATACTATTTGTACACATTAGCATTATTAAATAATCAGAAGAGTGAAAAATGAAATAGCTTTGCATTTATGGTGAATGAAAAAGTTCCAAATTTTTCAGCAGCAACACATTTTTTGGGGGGGGTTTGTGGTTTTTTTTTCTATTAAGACTCTAAGTCTTACTCAAACCTGCATCTTGCTGTTAGGAGGGATTAGGGGGGATGAAGCAAAGTTCCCACTATAATGGACTTCAATTACAAGTAATTGAAACTCAGTTACTAACATTTAAGCTACAATTCCTCAAATAGTTTTGTTGAAATAGCCAAAGCAGTCTGGATCATTTAAATACACAAAACACATCAAAAGTAATGGAAAACAGTTGAATTTATAGACTAAAACTCTAAAACTAAAGTCTCTGAGTCAACAGGTTACACAAACTACCAAACTAAAAACTACAAATGTAAGAGAACATCCCTGGATTAAAAAAAAAAAAACCAAACCAAACCAAACAACTACTTCCCACGACCTTGCCTCCATCACGTCTAGAAGATATCCTCCTTTTCCAAAGGAGGTTAATCTCAATTTCTTGCTGTGGTGGGTTGACCCTGGCTGGCTGCCAGACACCCACTGAGCCATTCTCTTGCTCACCCTCCTCAACAGGATGGGGAGAAAATAAGATGACAAGGTCATGGGTTGAGATGAAGACAGGGAGACTGCTCATCAATTACTGTCATGGGCAAAACACTCGGGAAATATTAATTTAATTTATTGCCAGTTAACATAGAGTTGGATGGTGAGAAACAAAGACAAAAAAGAAAACACCTCTCCCCCCTTCCTTCTCAGGATCAACTTCATTCCTTCATTCCCATCTCCTCTATACCCCAATCCCTCCACCTCGAGCAATGCAGCAGGGATGGAGGGGAATGGGGCATTGCGGTCAGTCCCTAACAGTTCCTCTCTGCCACTCCTTCCTCCTCATACTTTTCACCTGCTCCACCGTGGGTCCTTCCTGCAGGCTACAGTCCTTCAAGATAAACCTGATCCAGTGTGGGTCTTCTCCACCTCCTCCCTCTCCTTCCTCACAGGCCCTGGTGCTCCCAGAGCTGTTTCTTGTACATTTTCCCCCTCACTCCTCACTGCCACACAACATATTGCCCTTTCTTAAACATGTTTTTGCAGAGCCATCCAGAATCGGTTCTGGCACAGGGCAGCCCCGGCCTCTCCTCACAGAGGAAGCCCCTGCGGTCCCCCTCTGCCAGCACTCAGACACGTAAATCCATTACGCTTACTCATCACTTCTTTTCACAAATACCTTCCTAACTCCTTTTACACTGCCTGCTCTCTCAAAGAAGAGAAGCATTTGAATTCCCTTAAGTTGTTCCCCAAGATCCTAAATTTCTCCTTAGTTTTGCCTTCCCTAAGATTCATTTATTATGAAGAAATTCACTGAAATCCATCACGATGGGATTTCACCAAATGTCACAGATAGACATGATAAATGTTAGGGACAATTTTCTTATTTATATTCACAACAACTACAAATTTATTGCTCCCTTTCCTCTCCAACTCACAGTATACTAACAACCTCTACCTACAAGTACTGTTAGGTCTGGGCTTCAGGTGATTTGGGGAGTCGCAACACGTTATGTCTAACAAGTAGTAATAACAGTAAAGAAGATACTGGATCAAAAAATGTCCAGAATTAACAAGGCACGTGCTCATTAATGACGTTTCAGCTTAAAGAGCTGAACAGTCAATACTTACTAAGCACAGGGCATAAGATAAATGGTTTCCATGTCAAAGTTGACTTTATTTCCTACACAATTTAATCATGCCTTAAAAACTAAGAAAATCACATATGTTCACAAATACAAACAAAGATTTCTTTGTGGATGTCTTTGTAAATATCCAAGACAATGTATCAGTTAATATTCCACAAGTAAAATTTCCTTAAGAAATTTGGGGCAGACTTGTATTACACAGTTCTATGTATTCCTCAGAAATGACATTTCAAATGTTTATAAATGAAGATGACTATTCACCTTACTGTGTACATGCCAAGAAGAAACTACGGACAATGACTACCACTTCCAAAAGAAAATCCCATCTAAAGCACCTTTAAGCGTTAAGATTTATATAAATTATATCAGTATTTGGTAATCCAAGACTCCCAAATGCCTCCAAATACAGAATATTCACTCAAGCAAAGGTCAGCATATTTCAGTGTGCCTGCCTATGCCATTTTAAGTATTTACTGAGGTAAAATACTACATATAACCCCTTCCTTAATAGCTGATACTGTTTTGCAGCAATGCTGGATAGCACAGTTACCAGTGATGTTACTTGTGAACGCACTTGAAAATTGGACCAAGAACTGCATTTGCTGTACCATCACACAACCGATTGCACTGAGAAACACCTTTTCTTTCAGAAAAGAGAATAGAGAATTAAAGGAGAGAAATCAATGTTTTACCCTTTTTTGATTTTGGACAGTTCTGTCTCTGCACATTCAATCACACTTGACAGAGATTTCATTTTAGTGCAACTTCACAGGCTGTAATAAAAGTAAATGCCCACAATCTTATGAGAGAAAGCAAATAAGAAGTGTCATGGCTGAACTAGTAGCCCACTAGCCATTGACATACTATGATTAGATCATAGATTGTCACATTTTCTAACAGGAAGACTACAGTAGACTGAACTGAAGTTCTAAAGTTACTGTATCTGGAAATTCACTTTGAGACAGACTCTGTAAGTCCTAGCTGAAGGAAAACTATATGAAAATACAGATTGCAGTTCATAAAATACACTACCAATGATGATTCAAACAAGAGCCATTCAAAATGAAGCTTTAATCTTCCTGAAGAACAGTAAGATAACAAAATACTGATAACTGTGTGTGAGACTGTCTATCTTCATCTACCTACACCCATCCCTTCGCATACGTGTGTATCTACATACAAAACCAACCCCCCCATTCCAAGACATGCAGCACAGGAAGCACAAAGAGGTCAGATGGGCTTGTCCATTATTTCTTCAAAACGCACATTTCCCAGTATTTTATTTTTTTCCAGTATGTAAATGCTTTAGAGTATCTTCACATATAGTCTCTTTAGAGAGACTATAAAGGAAGAGTCGTAGACAGCAAGTAAAAACCCACTAAGCGCTAACCTGAAATACCAGACCTTTTTCCAAACAACCTGTTGCTACAACAGGTACAGGTTGCAGCAAAGGACCATTAACACCCAGCACCTTCTGCAGTGGTCATACTGGGCACTCTGCAAGGCAGGAGAGAGAAACCCCAGCGAGGCATCACACCAATACACCTCTGGGGCTTTTGGTCCCTAGATTGGCCATTTCAAAACGGAGTGCAGTGCTGCACACATACAGCTTCAGAAGCATTTTTCTAACAACATAAAAGGGTTACTCCGGAGAAAAACAAGTATCTTATCTGCTCTTAGCTTTGCTCCAGTACTCCAGTAACTGCTTGGTAACAGCTCCGGTATTTCTGATTGTTATTTAGTGAATTCTTTCATGCCATCCCCAATTCTCTTGAACCTCCTACCCACCCAAATAGTTTTATGTCACATTCCTTGAAATTTAATATATCTTCTTTTCATCTACATACCAATTCAAAATGAATATTATGAAAAAAAGAACAAGGATGATCTATTTGAATCATCACCATTGTTTAGTGCATGCAATCCCTTTCCTTCATAAAGTATCTCAGAACCAAACCACCTGCAATGTACTTGTTTATTATTATTATTCTCCATCAGGCAGTCTGACTCTTAACCATTTCATATTTGTTATGTCATTTACTACTGTACATTTAGTCAGAGTTGGATGGAAGCCTGCAATAAATCATTTGCAAGAACATAGTCCCAGTTGTTTTCAAGTCATGTGCTGAAAGCGAAATAAATATATATTCCCCTGTATTTATAAACATACTTTGTATTTGAATTAATATTGCTAACAAATTTGATCATAGTTTTTCAAAGCTGATTGAAGATGACTGTAAATAAAGATAAAGACAATTTTGACTCAGATGTATAGTGTTTTCTACAGCATTTGCTCTGCCTGAATTATACCACCAAACCTTGCTGCAAAAGGTTATTTTTCTCTCTCGTGTGGCTTCAATTACTTCATTATTTACTATTTCCTTGCTTGCTAGACCTCCAGACTGTAGATGAGCCTAACAATTTCTAATACAAAGGTGACAAGATTCTGCACCTGCCTTACCACAGTGTTATTTGGGGCCCACCAATCTAAAGTTAAAAGTAATCTAGACATCATCTCCCGCTTTCACATCTCTTCTCTTTGGCATACTTTTATACTCCTCTATACCTATTCTCTTCCAAACTCCGGAGTTTTACCGGACTTCTTTTAATACAGAACAGTGTTATTTCAGGTTACCAGGTTATTTTTGAGTATCGAATGCCAGTGATATCCTTTCTGTGTAGGTTTGCAGGCTAAATTGCCTAAAAAGATAGAGATCAGTTTGAATATTGAAAAAAATAGCTCTGTAATTGGCATTGCTTTTAAAAGAGGAAAAAAATAATCAGCAGTTTCGTTACTACAGCATAGCTCAAGAGTGACAAAAGTACATACCAGTGTCCATAAGTATACACTACACAACTATACTTATTCCCTAATTAAGGGATAAAACCAAACTAATATAACAGTTACAAATCAGATAAATGTCACAAAGCAAGAAGCAATCTACAGTTAAGAAAAAAAGCCTTCCCAACAGCTTTGGAAAACATTTTGAAAAGCATTCATCTAGATACTGTCTTTTCGAAACACGTAAGTGCATGCAAAAACTGAAATAATTTTCAAGTGAAT